TTGTGGTATCTAATCATTTGGCTGAAAATAAGCTTGGATATGTTCAAGAAACTGACTTTTATTTGGAAGAAAATATATTTTGATGAAAACCCACCATAATAGGACAGATTGTATTGGACAGATTGCCATTTGCTGATGTTTTGGATGAATTTGTTGAATGGTCAGATGTAAATAATCAGAGTTTTGTTGTTGCTATGTGTGTTGTTGAAACGAGGTCCATTGAAACACAAACTAGGTCATAAATTGCATTTTGTCTATCTGGGTGAGTGCTTTTTGGCACGGCGTGGGAGCTGTGTTCGGTGGATATTAGAGTGAAGTAATTTTGTAGTCTCAGATGAAGATCTGGANAAATGATAAATGTGTGTCAGTCTGAGAGTCCCCTTAAAAAGAGGTGCTAGGGCTAAGGGGGTTATCTAGTTACTTAGACACTATATGATCTACCACCTGACAGTAGCACTAGCACCTTCAGGTGATCTATTAGTGTAAAGTGTATACTGAAAAACTTTTAGAGTAAACAGTTACTAAATATTGTCTGCACTAAATAGTCCAAAGCAACTGGGGTCCGTGTTATGAAGCAGGTTTAACAAATTCAGATTTAAATTCGCAACTCTGATGCTACATTCAGACCGCACAAAGCAGGAGCAGCAAAAGCGCAAATGCTGCTTCAATTTCAACGCTTGTACAAGTTTAGTTCTGATGCGTGGCTAAAGCATCTTTGCTGCTCTGGCTACACAGTGGAAAAGTGGGTCTCATGCACGTTGGACGGAGCTACCCTATCCTTTCTTTGCCTGTAACAATGGCAGCTGTATTTTCTGTGATCAGTGGGTAAGAAGTAGTTTTAATATGTTTTTAAGTGAGAAAGTCCATCGGTTTTCTGCTACTGTCTGCAGCGGCTGAAAGGCGTTTTTCATGTACATAATCCAAAATGCAGGCACCATTACAATAAAAGCAAACATATTTTGCCAGCAGGTTTCCACATTTTAAGTTAATTTAGGCGTTAATAAACACTTTCAGAGGAGTGATCATAGCTCTCTGCATCAGCAGTGCTGTGAATGTCTCTCTGCAAGCTCCCAGGTCATCTTCTCTGATTGGTTGATGTGGAGCGTCGAGCAGCAAAAGTTCAATTTTTCCAACTCTAGCAGCTGCTACTTTTGAAGCGCATCACGTGTGTCAGATGCTCGCTGCAGGACCTTTTGCTTTGCCTCGATGCTAGTCAAATGTTGACTTTGCATGTAAACTTGCTGCTTCTGCTGCCTAAGCTACTTGCAGTCTGAAAGTAGCATGAATTGATCAAGCCAAAAGTCGGGAACTCTGAGTTTTTGGTTTCACAACGGCTGCTGTCAATTAGTTAAATCAATTTTAACTAGGTCCACACAGACTTAAACGTGTGCGCAACAAGTATGAAAAGCCATTATCAGCGGAGTACCGATTTGTCGATTCACCATGGAACAGGAAGAGGGTATTTCACCCCACTGGAAGTAGAGATTTTAATTTAGAAATGCACAAAAAATAAATAAATAAATAAATAAAACGGGAGAATGTGTTGAAAAGACAGAGAAACAGTGCTACAGTTACAAAGGAGAGGAAGGTGGCAAAGGAGAAGATTGTTGCTCAAGTTAATCCTTAAGTTTACATGAAGTGGGCTATTGCAGGCCATTTTTACATTATTAAAAGCACTCCTCTCTGTTGCTCCATTTGTAGATCACTTAAGTAAGATTCTTCCTGATCAAAATCCCACTCCTAGAACCTAACTGTAATGATATATTTTCTAAATTACATTTTGTAGCAGAAATGGAATTTTAGAACGTAAAAAAAAAAAAAATCAAAATTACACTAGTAAGAATTAAGTTTTTTATATTTAGAAATGTTTACACATTTTAAGTGGCCATTCTGCTTGACTGAAAATGTATTTATGATTTCTGAAAAAACCCTTTTCATAGTTCAAATAATACAAATGCTGACCAGCAATATTAGGACAATGGATATCTGAAATTAATTTCTAGACATGAAGAATGTTTATTCTATATGTGGAGAATGTCATTTGTTTGAAATGGTCATTTAGACAAAGAAAATTTTTTTTTTTTTTTCAGAAATGAGGAACATATATTGAGTAAACCTAGTACATATCAAAAGGGCTTGCCATAGTTGTTGTTGCCGTGAAAATATTACAAGATTATTTCTTGAATGTTATATGAATCCATGTATCTATTTAGGTGAAATCCTCTGGCAGCAGATGATGATGAAGGATGAAAACGTTCTAATATATAGAACCTGTGGATCATCCCATGCGTCCCTCCTCATGTTGCTTCAGTCTTCTTTTACACAGTAAATAAGTGATAACACCCGAAGCGACGTTTAGCATGTTATCATCCCAATAAATGGCCGTTATAAGCAGCTATCAGTACCATAGAATGGCTTCAGATTGTGCCAGTTGGCTTATTAGGTTGTTATCATCGAAGGAATCCTAATCCTAACCTTAAAATAATTCCTTTTCCCTGGCAGAATTAATGAATCTATGTACGTGTAATCTGAAATAATATAAATAGTTCTTCATGTACTGTAAATATAACAAAATATAAATAAAATGATCTGCATCTCGCTCATATTAAACAAACAAAAAAGAAGTAATCTCATGCCCAGTTAAGTGATCATTCTTTAATAAGATCCTCATCAAACGGACACGCAATGTTTGTTTTTAAAACCTAATGTGTCTAACAGACCTAGTGAATGATTTATATATATTTTATGCACAAAACTAAGACAAAATTTGACTAAATCAGGAAATAAAACAGTGTGATTGGTTCTAAGGAGAGCTGAGACAGAAGACACTCTGAGTTCACTGAAGAAAACCTGCTACTGACCAGGTTAGCTCTGGGGAGAATGTGACTACAGTGATTGAAACAGAAGTTGAGGAAACTCTCTTTGACAACCGGAAAAGTCAGTTTTCTTGTTTTTAGGTTTGGACAACTTAAAGTTTTCAGTAAACCTATTTCATGAAGCGGACCCCTGTTCTATGAAAGCTATGGAACATCCAGCAAATTCCCATAATCCATTAGATAATTAAAAACTCAATACATAAAGCTACCAAAAAAAAGTTTTGAAAAAAAAAAAGTTGAAAATACACTTTAAAATGTTTGTTTACATGATCTTTTTCTTATAGTCAGTTAGCATGGATTAACTCTTTAATTGTCAATACACTTAGATTTAAACAATAACAAACCCCACATCAACAACCAAAATAATTAAAATATTATAATATTCCATCACAAAATAGTCTGATGCTTGTGATTTTGTGTTTATCTGCGTCTCTGTTTCTTTCTTTAGATGGCAGGTGTTTACTGTCCACTTTATGCCACTGTCAACACTTGCAGACAGCCAGATATTTATAATTTTCCACATACTCATCGCCACTGATGCTTTTCCAACAGGGATTTGCTCCTTTAGACTCCAATCTGTTTTATCACAAGTGATTCTTTCAGAGGATGTGAGGAAGTATTGGTTGTAACACAGGTGACACAGAGCAGTGCAGTTGTGCATGTCTGGCAAACTGTTACAGCAACAGATGCAGGTCCTGCTTAGATTCATCTTGGAAATTTTAACCAACTTCTGTAGTTGTGATTTATTTATTTTTGTTTTAATTTTATGTTGATGTGTGTGTGTGTGTGTGTGTGTGTGTGTGTGTGTGTGTGTGTGTGTGTGTGTGTATGGGTGTGGTAATGTGTGTGTGTGTGTATGTGTGTGTGACAGTGTCTTGAAAAAGCAGGATCAATTGTATCTATTATTGGTGCAATACAGGATGCAACATTTACCTGCCAAAATAGGATGATTATTTTATAGGCAAGTAGAAAGCCTACCTTAGACCCACTGTGAATAATTGAGTCCCCCTGTCAGCCAGACATTAGCTTTTTTGTATTAAACAAAGCAGAGCTAATCTATTATGATGTGCCCGCTGAAAGTGACAAAGCTCTCCATGTGAGGAGAGCAGCTGTCTAGTGTAACCTGCTTTCCTTTCCTTAGGTATAGTCACATGATATTATGAATCAATTATCTTAACAGATTTTGGAGAAAAGTGGTTAAATGGAATGCCCAAAGTCAGTCATTCAGAGGTTTCTCTGCTCCAGCACAGCTGATTTTTGTTAATGGATAAATAACAGGCTTTTGCTGAGCTGCCATCATCAGAATCAGCTGTGTTGAAGCAGAGAAACCTATAAAACCTGCAGGGCAGTGGCTCTCGAGGACCGACTTTGGGCATCCCTGGGCTAGGGTTTCTTCTAACTCTACACTTCTGTACATTATTAATGCTAATTTGACAAATGTAAAACAAAACCTTAATCCAGTTACTAATTAGTAAGCCCAGGTGAGGCCCTTTAGAATTACTTACTAAAAAACAAAAATAAGGCTTATTCTTCATAAGAAAGGAAAAGGAGAAAATTTGCATTGCCCATTGTTTGACATCTTTTACCTTCTAACCTGTGATTTTACTTTTGTTCAAAGGAGTGTTTTCTGGAATTGTTTCATTTATCTTGAAAGGAGAAGAGCAAAACTTGTGTTTAGGTTTAATTATTTTATTATATATATCAATATATACCAAAACAAATAATGCACAGCAAAATGATGCTGAGGGCAGTAAGTGGAATCCAATTAAACAATTGACCTAAAATGGAAAAAACTGGAGTTACAAGAAAAAATGTAAGGGTGGCACAACTTTTTTACTTTTTTTTTGTTTTAATCATTCACTTTTTTCTTTTTAGGTGGCAAAGAGCTGTTATTCTAGTCCAAAGTTTTCAGACAATAAATGATGTATCTAATGGGTGCAAGTCAAGCACAGGTTAAGAGCATTCAGAACCCAGGAGCAGAGACTTCAAGAAAATGGATGCATGCAAGTGGGATATCAGGACTTTAGTATTCATGCAGAATAGGTCTCCTAAAGAGACTGCTAAATTGTATTACATTTAGTTTATCTGATTAACTTTTATAAACTTTCATTTAAGGACCTTGATCATTTGTATTAGAAAGAAATTGATGGATTGTTTCAGTGTTTCTTCTTGCTAGACTTTTCAATCATGGTCTCCACCACCATGGATGTTTCCTCATAACCTCTGACTTTGCGATCATTCGAGAACTTTTCCACAGACTCCAATACCTCCACCTTTTCATAGCTCATGGTGTCTGGGGTGTAGCTTCCAGAACTGGTGGTGCTGGAACCTGAACTAGAAGTGCTAGTACCACGAGGTGCAGGCTTTGGAGTTGGACCTTTGTTATCTCCATTTTTTTTGGACCTGTTGTTCCCAGGGGTGGGATCTTGGGGGTTTGGGTCAGATGGTGGAGACAATGGGTTTGGGTCTTTTGAGGAGGGCTCTCCGTTATTGAATTTACCCTTTCCTCCTCCATCTTTAGCTTTTCCACTGATGTTATCTTCTCCATGATTAGGGGGCAGGGTGGGACTAGGAGGCCTGGGGTCTACCATGGGCAGAGAGGGTGGAGGAGAGGGTGTTCTGCGTCCGTGAGGCTCATAAGGATACATCATTCCATCTCTGATAGTGACAAAGATGCGGCCAGCTGAAGGAGTGGAGGTATAGAAGCAAGGATCCAAGTAGCTGCCATCGCCAGTAACAAGGACATAGCGACCTTTGGTGTAGAAATCAGCGATTGGCTCAGGCCTCTTGTACTTTCTCATTCTGTCTCTGACAATATTGCAAAGAGTGTCAAAGGCTTTGCTTATCTGAGCTCCATCTGGGACATCCTGTGGAGACACTCCAGTGAACACAAGCCTCTTCTCTTCTTCTTTTACCTTATCCTCATGCACTTCCCCAAATGAGACCTCCTTAGATTCTTCATCTTCACCCTCTCCAACATTTCTCTCCTCCTGCCCACTTTCTATGACATCTTTTGGGGTCAGCTCTTTCTTCTTCAAAACCTTTTTAGCCAGAACCTTCTGTCTGGGCTTCATGTTTGTAATATCTTGGATAGCCTGGGTGATATCTAAGCACAAATGAAAACAAGTCAAGTGGATGGACCTCATTGACTGATAATCATTCAAAGAAGCTCCCTTTGTATGCCTAATTTTGTATAGTATTTTCTAGTCTATATCATGGCAGCCGACCATACATTTCAGAATGACCTTAATAAACAACAACAAAAAAACATCTGTGATATGTTGATAATGTCCTTACCTCTCCCCCTGCTGGATGCGCTGGGTGTGTGAGTGTAGCGATAATTAGTGGTAAACAGGGTAATGGGAGTGCCAATTATGGCAGAATTCAACCTGCAGGTTGGAAAAAGAAAAGAAGACAAGGCACCAATGGCCACATTGGCAGCATTAGCCAGACAACAGCAATTTAATCAAAGGTTTTCCCATTCTGAGAAATCAATATCTGACATTTCTTAAAATAAAAAAGAGCAAAGAGCTCAAAAAAAAAGAAAGAAAATATAAAAATAAATAATAAAAAATGCAATGTGGAATAGAAAAATATCTCTTATGTCACAGCGCCATCTGCTGGTGGATACATCATCATTCAGTAATACATATAATTACCTTGAACAGTATGTGATTTTTTGTCTAATTATGTTCGTTGTTTTAATTTGATTGCAGCAACTTGACATGAATTTTGCACTGGATGATTTGTGAGCAAAAATCTCAAGTTTAAAGTCAACAACATCTACTTGTATCAATCAGTGTTCAAATAAGTGCTGAATAACCAAATCACATTTGAGTTAAGGGTTTTTAACTGATGACCAGACATTTTCTGGTATACATAAATTTGATTATTAAGGTTTTGAAGTTGTAAAGTGATCTCGGATCAATACAATACTACCACTTAAAATTCAACTGAAGAAATCTGTGATGAGGCAACTGCTTTTATTCATTTATTTGTTTAGGAATTTTTATTTTTGTGTTCTTGAAGTCAAAAGAAACTGGCCTACCTGTTATCCTCATTCTCAATGATCCTCTTGTATCGCTCCAGCTCATTCTCTAGAGAAGTCTGATACATGGCTAGGTGACGACATTCACTAGTGTACTTTTCCAGTGATTTCTCTGCTTCCTCAATCTCCTTCCGCAGGGATTCAATTTTCTCATTGTATCCCTGGATCTCATCATCATAATTCTCCTGCGTGCTTTTTATGGTTTGCTCCAGCATTGCAGTCTGAGAAGATAAAGCATTCATAGATAATGTATTCACATAAATTAACAACATTATTAAGATTAACAGTTCAAAACTTCTTAGTTCTGTCATAATAATTATTTTACGCATATAAGTAGTAAACTAATGATTAATACAATAACAACAGTTCAGATAAGTACTAATTTAAAGAAAGGATAAATATGTGACACCTGCAGGGATGCTTACATATGTTTGATAAATATCTATTTTAAAAATATCTTAAACATCAAATTAGAAAAATGTGAAGTATGGGATCATTTACAAAAGTCACATTAATGCGATCTGGAGTGATCCTTGCGGACACTGAGTAATTTTTAAAAATATAAAAACTAAGGCTAAGTCCACACAGCAAGTTTTGCTTAAATCAAACCTTTTTGGGAAGGTCTTTCATGCTACTAATTAAATGTGACCACTTTCAGATCACTCTTGAACAGTTTAGGACATCAAAGCAGCCTACAGATGTTTTATAAAACTGTAAGATGTATTGGAATTGGGCTTCTCTGACTGCCGTGATATAGTCAGAAATAAGTTGAACACTGGCAAAAAGATCAGATCTGGGTTTGCCAGCAGAGTGAACATTGCCTTGAATAAGATCAGGGCCCATTTAAGATGTTAAACCTTTCCACTACATTTCCAACAAATACGTTATGGAATTTTGAGCTTCAACTGCCCAAATAAACAAGAAAGCATCCGTTAAAATATTTTAATTAGCCTGAAATACATTGAGAAACATTAGCAAAAAGTTAAACACTTATTTGATACATTAATCTGTTGTTTTAAGATTTAGCAACATTTCTTTTATGTTTTTTGAGAAAAAAAAAGTCAATTGGAATCAGGTTTTTGAAAATGAAAGCTGTGGTACCTATTTTCCTTCTGGCCTTTTGTCTGCAAAATATACATTTTAGTTCTGGTGTTTGGCTTACAATCAGTGAGAGAATCAAATTAATTAAATATAAAATAAAAAAAAAGAGCCCAACTATACGACAGGAGGCTTTCTCACTCATTGAGCACCTGTGGTTACAGTAAAATATCCTATTGCCTTGGTTGTATTACCTCACTCTGTAGGCGTTGCTTTTGAACTTGCAGCTGACAGAGGGCGCTCTTGTACTCCTCCAGTTGAGTCTGCAGCCCTGGTAACTTCCTTTGGGCAAGAAGCTTCTCCTGCTCCTTTACACATTTAACACAAATCAATAACGGCTAAACATTAAAGGCTGGATATTCCAGAGACAAAATGCAAACCCCTTCCTGATACGAGCTAATCACTGTTTTAAGATCACATTAGAGAAGTAATTACTATAGAGCAATTTACTGCAACAGAATAAGAAATCTGTGAAATGCAAAAACAGATAGGTGACAAATTCTAATATTTTTTGGTGACCCCTTTCCTCAGAAGAAAAAATTAAAAAAGAGAAAGTGAATATGGCAGAGACCACTAGACCTACAGTTGGTCTGGATGGACTAACTCTAGCCAGAGAGAATTGAAATGACCTGATTTCAAGGAAATTTTATATTTTCAAACATTTCCAACAAAAGGTTGCTGGTTGTCGTCTTTTTACTCTAGTTTAAAACAAATGAATTAATTTGCATGTACAGAGCTTTTTCCAACTTCTATGTTAATATGTGCCACAACATTATTCTCTTGGTGGTCTGAGAAATAAGATAACTTTCATATTACCAAATGATGATGAAATATATATATATATATATACCGGTATATATTTTTATATTGGTCATCATTACAGGAGAGGGACTTTACAAATGTCATAAACACATTGGAGTTTTTAAGGTGGCTGTATCAATCTTGAATACAGAAGTGCAGTAAACTAGAAAAGAAAAATGTAACTCTCATCCCATTGCGAATGGAGACTTAACCAATTAAACAATGTCTGCATGAGAAAGCAGTGCTGCCTCTAAGAAACATTTAAACAAATAAATCTCTAATATGTGATATTCAAATAGCAGCCACTGTGGTACCATTACTAGAAAATTAGAATGCACTGTCATTCTCTGCAGCCTTTACCTAATTATGTGTCCTGACACTTTTAAAATTACTCATCTTTACAGGTGTCTTGATGCTTACAATGCATGTTCTTCCTCACAGAGCATGGAGAAACACTCACACTACTGCAGTACTCACAGACAAATGGATGGACAGGAAACCAATTTAACTGAGGAGCTAGTAACCTCATCAGCTGCTTACACGTGGCAGGGCTGACACACATGCAACCATCCTCCTACCCAAGCAAGAGCACACACACACACACACACACACACACACACACACACACACACACACACACACACACACGCACACACACAAACACATATGATGACAACATAGTGACCTTACCTCAGAGATGCCAGCTGACACATTAGGAACAAGAGGAAGTGTCTGATTTATTTGTTGCAAAATGTTTACATAGGTTTGGATCTCTGCAAGGTTCTGTGTGAATGAAGATGTGGACAAAAAAGGGACAATGAAGTCATTCAACTCAATAAGAATTAGTCAAATAATCTTATAATTTTCTTTAGGCTGATTGTGCATCTACTTAGACCTTATTGAGGATTTGAAAACTTGAATTTCATTATGCCAAAAGCCTTTTTTTTTTTAGCTCAGCCATACAACCCAGTAGTTCTGCTGAAAAAAAAAAGGATTTTCTAAATATAATCATTCATACCATTGCGACCTTAGAGTGAGAAAAAGATTGGCTTGTATAACTTCTATCTTGAGGAGTACTTTAAAACTCAGCAGCCTGAGTGCTATATTCCCATAAAAAAGGACTCCACCAATTCGTTTCCACATTACCCAGAAGCAGCAGTGCCCTTTTATATGCTATGTGAACCCTGTAGTCATGGATTAATTAATTATCAAACAGCTACAATGGACAGAAAAACAGAGAAATTGTGAAAACAGGGATGTCTTTTGAAGACACAAATGATGCATGTAATATTCTAGACATTTTCTAAGGGCTCAGCATTTTTTTGCCTTTGTTTTGGAGCTTCCAGCTTTTACTGCGACACAAAGGAGCATTTTCTTTTTCTTCTTTTTTTTTTTTTTTTTTTTTTTCTCAGTACATGTCCCTCTGTGAGTGCCTGTGATGGCTATTGCTTTTTTTTTTTTTTTCATTTTATTCACTACAGGATTCTCACCAACCTTCTTCACAAAAAGCAAACGGGTGCAAACGCTGAAGCAGATCTTTCCCTAGCACCTGTTTTGGCTCTCAAAAGGCAATACTTATTTAGTCAGTATACTGAAGTAACTGTGTTATTTTATGTATCATATACAGATACAAAGTGGTATGTGCATTTTTTTGAATATTACTGTTTGTTGAAATGTAAGTTACTGGACAAAGAGTTAACCTATGTGTTTCTGCTGAGGTTAAAAGTGTAAACAACACATAAATTGGAATAATGAAAATTAACTGGATAAAGTGTTGATATTCCTTTGTTTTTTGCATGAAGTATTACCCCGTTTACACTACCCTTAAAAAACTGAGCTGAGACCGGTCCGAGCTCAGTAACTGAGATAACTGTGTGCCTGATTTAGATTCACCTCTATTTAAGAGGTGTTAAATCTCATATTAAAAGCACTGTCTTTGTATAAACCTGTAAAATTGTAATTGCATTGTAGTCAGTAAAAATGCATTTTCACATGCTCCCATTTTATATTATCTGTAAAACAACCTGCTCAAATAAAGCTACATTATAATGGCTCCTCTTCACAATTTTACAACTGTGGGGCAGTAAAGGGATTTTCTATTCTATTCTATTGTATTCTATTCTATTGGGTGATGAATTCTTTAAGATAGAGAAAGTTAAAGTGAAGCTTTTTTGCTAGCTAATGAGATGGAGGGAAGTGTAGTTTTGAAGTTACGTTAGCAGTGAACAAAATTTATTGTTTACATTTGTCTTGTCCCCTAAGATGTGGAACCACAGACGGTTTGACCATAAAAATCTAAATATGAAATATAAAATCCTGCATACCTGACCACCAATTAAGAAAGAAGGATTAGTAGCATTGGTATGATTTAAAAAATGAAAAAAATGTCATCCCTGAGGAAATAATACGTTAAATAATCATTCTTGGGAGAGCCTTCTAAATGGATGGTTCATGTTTTTCCCAGAGGAATGTTAATGTATAACTTGATGTTATATTATTAGAACTTTCCACCACCATATCCTTGCCTTCTGGGTACAGCAGTGAATTCTATGCTGCTCTGCCATGCAATATGGCTAAATTGGAACATATTTAGGGGTTAACTTGATAATTTTATTGAGTGTTTAAAAAAAGAACCACAGAGAGTAGATGCTACATTCCTGTCACTATTAAATAATTCCAGACCAGATTCTATGGTAGATAGATTTATGTTTCTCTTCATGCATGCCTGATGCCTTTGCTCTAGCATTACTTATACCAGTCAGGCACTTCTTAAAAATGGACTGCAGTGCCCTCTTCTTGATGGTCTCAACACTACAACCCTATAAGAAATTATTTCTTAAGCAGACATGATCAAATTGGATGGAACCAATTTGAATCTAATAAACCATTAATTACTATTTAATCTTAAATTGATTATTTGTTTACATCCCTTTTGTTAATGTTAGGAATATTACCACAAAACAATAAGGTCGTAGGCTTCAATACCAACCTGGGGCCCAGGATATTAGAAAGTCTTGCAATGTGACAACAGGATATTTTTTGATTAAAACATCATTCACATCAAAGTGCCTTTCATTATAATGAAAATGAAAGTTTATACCTTTTGGACTATATACATATATCCAATTATTATTGCAAATCCTACAGTACTTTTTGATATAAATATTGCACATGGATTATTTAATGTAGGATATATTGTACAGTCTTTCTGGGGTCCTTTTGCAATTTGTATTGTCCCGACATGCATGGGTGGGTTCTTGCTTGTACATAGCCCCAATGACGCTGAAAGGATGAGCAGTTACAGAAGAGGCATGGATGCTTCCCTAATCAGAGGCCATTTAAAGTTAATCCCAAAAGACTACCAGCAATCATTATTTTCTTTTAAATGTTCTATTTGATTTTCCCGCAGTCTTCTTGTCTGGAATTTCTCTTTGAGAAAACAATTGTTGATATCTTAACATGGTAGCCTGGGAATCACTCAAAATATCATGGGTTATAGAAAAAAACTGGATACCAAGCCAGAAAAGAGTTTGTTGACTGACTTAGCAGTTGACGTCTTGGGTGCTTGAACTGTATTCAAAACCCAGGAAACAAAATCACTTCACAACTTTTTTTCCGCCTCACTGACGCATACCTAGAATATGTGGGAATAAGTCCTTTTTTTGGCATTGTTCCCAGCTTCATCTCTGTGCTCCATGTGCTACTTGCTATGCTACAGAATGATGAGAACTAAATGTGACAAACAGTTTGGGGGCAGATAGGGGTGTTTTTTTTTTAACAGATTATTTCCTTTTATTATTTAAATCATTTACGCAATTTTATTACACACAATGTCATAGCAACTTTATTCCAAGAAGTTAAAACCTTCAGTAATTTTAAGGCAATTTGCAATGAGTTTTTATTTTATTTTATTTATAACCATGGTACGTTATCTGCTATAACACAATCCTGGGATCATCTAGAGCTTAGGTGTAGACAAAGTAAAAAAAAAAAGAAAAAAAATATTAGATACTTTAAAAGATTAAATGCTTTTTTGTTTGGGATGCAGCCAAGATGCTTCCCCCAGGATGTGCACAATGCATTTCCCAAGAGGAGGAAGACAGTTCCTCTTGCCTATTTAAGAAATGAGACTAAGACTGGCCAAAGAAACAATAGTATGAGCACCATTTGCTTTATTGCCTACAATTAAGTTTTAACATTTTTTTTTAAATCTATTTTGAAAAGGTAAGTTAATATTTAATCTCCAGGGCAGGACTCTTATCTTTCTCTGAAAGACTGCTACAGATAGCGCCAGCAACCGATTTAAGGGGTTAAGAAAAGCGATTCATTTTTAGGTTCACATCCCTTTAAATGTGTTTCTGTGACTTTAAGTATAAAATTACAAAGGGAGTTTTGTGATACATCAAGTAATGTTTAACATATGAAATAAGCCTGTCTCTTAAAGGTGTAGTGGAGAATTTTGTTTTTCTGGGTGGATCATCCAAATAAATAGGCCTCCTAATTGTCAATCATTCTGGTGATGTTTACATTTGCCCGTCCTACATGCTTGTCCCCAGTCTTTTTCTGTGCATGCGCACTTTCAGCCGTATATGTGTGGTGAACTACAGTTTCAGGCATTGAAGCTCGCCTCACTGCGGTTCTTTGAAAATGGCCTAGAATCGTGAGAGAAAAAATGTCTACACAGTGTATGAGAAGAAAAGAAAGGCCTCAGAGGAGGCGGATATATCTGGGAATGCTTTGCGCTGAGAGCTCTCCTCGCAAAGCATTATGGGATTTGCTGTCACAGGTGCCCACTGTCGCCATACAATGTTGCCACCCTAAATTATAACAAAAAGCAACGCACGGTGGAGGCAGAGTTATGTGACCAACGGGGAATAAAAAGCAGTGAATCTGTCCGAACGGTCAGTTAATTGAGTTTACTATAAAGTCCACTATATAGTCCCTGCTCTGAATAGTGATTGAGAGATTAAGGGGTTAGGGCGGCTGTTGTTGCACATTAAGCTTGTATGAGCTATGGGAACAGTAACTGTTAAACAGAGAAGTAACCAGGCGAAATGGGCCTGTGCATGCTCTTGCACACGCTTAATAATCGTTTCCTCTCGGAAGCTGGTATTGGGTTTTGAATGTGTATTTTTTTTTTAAGTGGAGTGGGCGGGTCTTTTAAAAAATTCATGGAAAATCCTCCTCTACACCTTTGATATAATTTAAATTACCACATTCTAGTGTATCACAGCAGATTAGGTTATTTTGGATCTCTTATTTTCTATACCTTATGATGGTGTGAGCTAAGGGTCCTAAAAGGTTATTGTTCTATTAAAAACACATGTGTATAGAGCATATCTCTGCTCCCAATTGGTCAAATCTTATTAGCTCAATTTTTTTGAAAATAGGTCACACTGCACTCCTATGGAGGCACCTCAAGCATTCAGCGTGCTGTAATTAGTAATTTTTCATCAGCAGTAAATGTGGACCGCACAGCATGATCAAATTATGCTACTTTAAGCTCATTGTGTGAAGTTCGAATCGCATTTGCATGAATTCACAGCTGAGGGTTAACAGGAAGACTGACCTTCTTATGTCTATCTCTAGTGGAATTGATGTCATCCTGAAGGAACTGAGACTGGATTTGATATTCCAGATTCTTTAGCAGAGCACTGTCAGCCTCCTGCGGGGACATGGGAGAACAGAAGGAAAGAGAGAAGAAACAAGATGAGAAAAAAAGAACATGAATCGACCATGGTGGAATAAGCAGGAGAAGATGGATGGATGGAGGAATCTATATTCATACTGTGCCACAACATTCTTCTATTAACAGTCTTATTTTAAACTTTGCGCTAGCAAAAAATTTCATTTGTTTTAATATTTTCTATACAATTTGATAGGATGTATTACCTTGTTTAACTGTTCCAAAGTGTCACGCAGACGCTCTTGGTATTCACATTCACTTTTGTATCTAAAAAAAAAAAAAATAGGAATATTCATCTAAATTCTATTTAATTTATAAAACAGTTAAATTAAGACTGCTCAAATAAAATTCCTTTAAAGATAAAAGGTGATGGTTTATTACCATTTTAATATCTCTTTTTTTTCTTTGTTTCCTGTTTTACCAATATAGCTCTGGGAATAGATATCCTGGAGCTAGAATATAGCCCAACAGATTTTACTTTCACAAACACACTATTATGGTTGTTCCGCTTGGTACTTATGTATGAAACTTTATTGAAAATGAATTAGGGGAATAACATTAACTTTTTTAGAGAAAAACTTGGAAAGACTGTGAAGGTACTGTACTGCTTTGATGTTTTTCTCTTAACATCAGTTTAAAACTAAGAGAACAGCATTATATTCTCTAGGTTAAATGTGGCTCTTGACAAATTAATGTGTTTTTTTAAGCATCTTTATGAAAGAATATATAAAAAAAACATATTTACAGCATGTTAATTCCCCTGATTATTTATTCTCCATATATAGAGTAACACACGGTCCAGTACGGTATTTTAATGTTTATTTTCTTAATCCTGTCACTTTTATTTTTATACAGTTTTCTAAAGTCCACTTTGTGTAACCACTTCTGCTATAAGCTATTGCTGCTGCCGTAACACCACAATTTCCTCATTGTGGGAAAATAAAGGAATTTTCTATTCTATTCTATTCTATTCTATTCTATTCTATTCTATTCTATTCTATTCTGTTCCATGTCAACCCAGTATTGCACTTTTTAATAACCACTTAAGCCCAATAAAGGTTTTATTACCCTGACAGACTCCGGACAAAGAATTTGTTTCTGATAGGAAATGACCCAAGCCTCTGTCAAGATGTTAAAGCAAAATAGAAATATAATTTTTAAATTTTCTTCATCAACTAATGCCAAGTAACAATTTTAGATAATCTTTAATTGGTGGGTCTGAACAGATTGAGCTTACAAATTGAACAGAATAACTTATTTATTTATGACAACATTCTTTTTCTGGTCATATAATCTGAGCTGCAGAGGATAATACAGTGTCTATTGTTAAGAGTGCTTTATTTGAGATTGAGTTTTAGAAGTTTATATTTAGTTTTTTTTTTTTTTTTTTTTTTTTTCTTCTTGGAAAAGGTTAGTGTCTTTTATTTATTTACCTAACCAAATTAAAAATAGCATTTTCTCCTGAACAGAAAAAAAAAGCTATTTTAAATCTTGATAAAATTATCTGCCTGATGGTGATTATCTTTTTCCTGGTAATGATTATGATTCAACAGAAAATATTGGAGAATTTTTAAAAAGTTACTGCGAATAATGGCATAATCAGCATATAAGCTTCTAGATGGTAAGGAGCTTTAGAGCCCTAAAAAATAAAAATATGTATGTATATTTACACAGTACACACATTCCCCACTAAATATGATATAATTTGCTTAATTATGCTCCACCCTTGACCGATACATAAATCGACATCTGTCCGCTTCCTTACTTGTTTGTAAAGTCATCCAGCATGCGGCAAGCCTCCCTCAGCTCCCGCTCCAGTTTGGCATGGTCAGAGCTCAGCTCTCTGATTCTCTGAGTGTTGATTTTAATCTGCTCTGTGAAGGTCTCCTCCAGTCCACTGGTCTCCTCCATCCGCTGCAGTGTCTCTAGCTGCTTGCGGAACACAGCGTTACGCTGCTCAAGCACTCGGGCCCTGTTAATGTACCGGGCAAAGCGGCTATTGAGCTCCTGAAGGCTCTCCCAGCCCTGGATGGCTGAGATACCTGCAGGGGTTTCAGAGTCCTCTGTTTCATCAAAGACATCTGAGCGCTCATATTTCTCCTTGCGGACCTCGTGCAGGTAACTGCTCTTGAACATATTGGCCTGATTCCTCTGGGCTGATGGTATCCCTGAAGTGCTTGACCCCCCTTCAGCACCTTTAATGTAAGAAAACTTGGATGCTCACCCTTAGCAGTCTCATACTAGACTGAACGGTGCAAAGCAATGACTGGCATCAAAATAGCCCCTCAGCCTAGGCCCCTGTTCAGGGTCTCTCTGCCTATTATGTCAGCCCAGGGCCTTCCAGACCAATTGTTGCCTTTCTGGCACAGATTTGAAAAGCATTACTGTTGATGACAAAGCAGAAACATGAAAACAAACAATTGGCTTTCCAGTGAAAGAACTAGGTCATCCCTTCACCATTATTTTAGTTTTAGTCAGCTGTATCCCTATTTGGAATTCTGGATGTTAGCCCAGTGCAACATAACACAGAGGGGAAATTGCATGCAAGACAATGTTTCTGTCACAAACAGTTCCAGGCACAAGGTCTAGTAAAGGAATGTCTTGTTGGAATTGCCCTATGTGTTATTTTTTTATTAAAACTAAATAACACATCAGTCCCAGTCTGAAACATGATTAATGCGCAACCTTAGCATTGACCGTCTTTTTCCCAACAAACATATTTCTCTATCTCGGGTTCAAGATTTTGCAATTAGACATTTAAACTTTACCAAAAGAATATGCAAAAACTCAGAAAAGAAGATTGACACAGAGAGCCTTGTTTGGTCTGTTGTTTCTTTCACAGGTCTTTAGGAACCTTTGAAGGTTCACTCACTATAAGGAAGATTTAATAAGATACTGTCAGGCAACCAGATGAAACATTCCTTAGCACAGCTATGCCTCTACTATTATGAAGACTTAAAGGAAAGTTAGTAGTAGTCAATGATGGGAGTAACAGCGTTGAAAGTAACGGCGTTACTAACGCTGCTACCTTTTTTTAGTAACGAGTAATCAAAATGATTACTCTTACTGTAACTATAACGAAGTTACAATTGCCGACACCCCGTTATTGCACGTTACTCAGGTTGCACAATTAACCTTTTTTCATGATAGGACTCGGGTGCGCATCATGAGAGAGGGGAGGATGGAGAGTGAGGAGGACTCCAGCGGCAAAACAGCGCTTTCCAGATGGAAATACTGGTGTTACGTCGAGCTGCGTTTCCCCATCAGATACGGTTTCCCCTGCATCTCCGCACAGCGTGGCGGCACGATTCACCGCGCAAGCGACAGGAAACGCGCATGCTCGCTAAAGGCGCGTAACAGCCGCCCTGTGCTCGTGCCACAGGGGAACTATGGAGAGCGTGAACGATCATTAGCCTCTATGGAGAAAGAGAGATGGATGGATGGATGGAT